CTCTTCTTAACAGCTTCCCAACAATTCGAACTTCCTAACAATAAAAAAGTGGAATCAATTACCTGGGGGGAGGGGGCGTGCTCCAACACTGGAAGCATTCCAGAGAAAGTTAGACAGCCATATGTCAGATATACTTTGCTTTGGACTCCTGCATTGATCAAGGGGTTGGACTTGATGGCCTTATAGCCCCATTCCAACTCCATTATTCTTCTGTATGATTCCATAATAGGAGTTGCTAGCGTGCGAAATGAGTGCAATTGTACGGTAGTTGGAGCATAATAGGAATAATTTTGGGACTGCACTTTGAGGTTACTTTGAGTGCACTTTGAGCCAACTGCACTCAATACTCAGTGGTACTGAGGGTTGGTGTGTTGTGCACTTTGAGCCAACTGCACTCAATACTGAGGGTTCGTGTGTTACTGTAGCTAAAAGAGAATCCTATGAATAAGTATGCGGGTTGGTTAATTTCCATCTCATTGGATTCACTTTACTTTTTTGCTAGAACCCAAAGGCCCACCAAACCAAGTAGTTCAAAACAGTGGGTGAGGATGGCAGACAGTCACACAAAAGAGTGACTCAGGAAAGAAGACGACTCCCTTCTGCACTCCCATCCAATGAGCCTACTTAGATAAAGTATACATCTACCTAGACAGTATTTTAAAGATGTAACTGGCAGTGATGCATCCCCACTTCTATCTGTAGGTTAAGTGCAAGAGGACCCAATCTAGTCTGGGATCTTAGTATGTGAGGGGGCAGGGTTAAGAGAGTGTTATTTCTAAACACATGCGATCCTGATTAGCGTGGCATGGGGAGTGGAGAGGAGAAGAATTTTTTTTGCCTGTTTGTACATTTTTAAAAGTCTTGAGATCAGACATGTAACAGCAGATCTCACAGGCCAAGTCTGCTGCTTCTGGAATATCTGCTGGCACAGGAGTAAGAAGGCTTGGGTGCTAGGTCTACCAAGATAGACATGGCCTCCAAGAAATCTATCTATTAGATTCTTTTCAGTTGTTTTTAACTGGGGAGATGTGTTATCTAAACATCTTTCTACCAGCAGGTGAAATTCCCTAAATTCTTTTCCTCATTGCTTTCATCTCATAATGACCCTTGGCCATAGTTAATAAGTGAACATGGAAGGTTCATTGAGCTCACCACCCCTGAAGGGCTGCGCTCTACATACCACACACAAAAGACTCAAGTGTATTCGGAACCATAAAGAAAAGTAGTGGAGTTTGCCATAAGAAACAACACAAATCCATAATCCTTACCGGGCCAATAATTTTAATAGCCCACCTCAGAAGTCACAAAAAAATGGGGAAACACTCTCAATTATTGGATTACTAGATCTCTTTGTCAAACAAAAAGGAGAAAGGACAGGTGAGGAGGGGGGGAAGTAAATGCTGAGTTGATATGGAAGTCACGAAGTCTACATGGTCCAAATCTTAAGACGAAATATACACTCAGGCATGCAAATTGATCTCTGGTGATGTGAATGGTTCTTAAGTTCCACGTGTGTCTGCTTCTAGGTATAAGCAGCTTGTGCCCCTTACAAGGAGGCAACTGCCATGTTTGGAAGAGGGCTCTCCCTCTGTTCAGCCCACAAAGCTGCCCCTGTTCTTAGAACTGCTGGGAAGAATCATCCTGGGATCATTTTGAAAATACCAAATCCAGCTGTTACTCAGAATTTCCATCCTGGGATGAAGCACACTTGGTTTGCAGGAAACAGAACTAGGAAGGAACTGGATATTGACAAAGGCACACTGCAGATCATTTTAGAATTGGAAATTAAAGGGGAAATTGTGGATAAAAGTTAAATTCGACAGCGGATTCTTATTAAAATGGATGAGAAAAAGCACTGACTTCTAAGGAGCCACAAGGCATGTGATTAATGTTTACTATCTCTTTTTAAGCTATATGTGAATACCTGCACATATAGCTTTGTGTATCCCTTAACACCTTTCATTGTTTCCACAATTAACTGCATAGCCCCAGTCCTACAAAAGCTTACTCCATCAGGAAACTGAAAAACAACACTGGTTTATACTGCATATTTGTCACACACGATTCCCCCATTCCAAACCCTGGAACTCCCTCCCACGGGAGGCTGGCCTGGCCCCATCTTTGCTGCCCTTCTGCAAAGACCTTTCTCCTCAGGCAGGGTTTTCCTTAGTGACTGTGTAAAAGACAATGAACTGGATTGTTTATATTTTGTTACATCTAAATCTGCTTTACCTTATTTTTAATACTGTATCATGTTACTAATTCTTCTTTAATAGCTGAATAATTTCCTGTTTTTAGCTTTTAATATTGTGTTTTCAATTATGTCAGATGCCTTGGGTCTCTTTTTAGGAGAAAGGCAGGGTAAAATATTTTAAATTAATAAACAGTAGCAATAGGGTTATAATAACAGCACTATTTTTCATAGTAATATGTTGAGAAATTCCCAAATAAGAGAGATTTGAATTAGAAAGATTACAAAGCTCTACTTTTTTTGTTGAAATGAATTTGAAATAACTACTGATAAAATTTAAAGAAGAAACTGCAAAGGGTTACAACTGAACAGTAAGAAGATTAAAATCCACACAAGAGTTACATGACAATGTTTACAATGAAGAAAATGACACTGTTAAAGATCTTCTTGATCCAATCATCATTTCAAATGAAGAATGCAGGCAAACAATGAGAAGAAGATTGCAATTGGAGGGACAGAAATGAAGGAACTAGGGAGAAAAAAAAATCAGATGTAATTTTGTGTCACTGGACACCAAGGTCAAGCTCATCCAGATGATGGTATTCCCAATTGCTGTGTATTGGTGTGAAAGCTGGATAGTGGGGAAGGGGAAAAAAAGTTTAATATGCAATGTGATGTTGGAGGAGAGTTTTACAGATACAGTGCAGCTCCAGAGAGACAATTAAGCAAGTTCTAGATCAAATCAAGTCTAAGCCCACTGGAATTACTACAATGACTAAACTGAGCCTACTTTGGACATGTGAGAAGCGAAGACTCACTGACTGAAATCCTGTTGCTTAACACAATAAATTACAACTCGAGTAGGACCACTGAATGAATGGAGATTTGGTGAGTCAATGCTTCCATGAGTTCCATTGATTCAATGGGTCTGCTTTAGTTGCAGCTTACTACACTAAGTAACAGGATTTCAGCCATTGAAATCCCATGCACACTTATTCAAGAGCAAGCATCATTTAATGCACGGGGCTGAAGGCAGACATAATCACTCTTTGTGTGTGTGTGTGTGTGTGTGTGTGTGTGTGTGTGTGTGTGAGTGCG